GGGAGGCGCGGCTCGGACTACGGCCCCCGCGACCCGGTCTCGGATAAAGCAGATGAAGATGGAGTATTTCAGTAAATGTATTTGGGTACTTTCCACCTCTGAGTGAACACACATAAAACGAGTTGTGTAGATGAAACTGATGCCCCAGTGCATGCTGGGAGGGCTCCTAACTTGGCTGCGTGCTCTCTGCTACAAACCCGTCCTCAGGCCCCTGCTGAGAACCAGATTATCTGCATTTTAGCCTGAAATCAGCAGGTTAGTCTGGATTGGTCAATTGACGTTTCAGGAGCTCACACTGATCTCAGGCCAGTTTCTGTTGTGGTAAAAGTGTTGAGACCATATTTAATTTGTTCAAACTGAAGGAGACTAAATTCAGATCCAAATATTATTCCCGACTCTTCCTGTAACAACCTGATTTGTTGTGGAAAGAAGCCACGATTCCAGATTTCATTGCTGTGCAAACACTGACATTCAGTTGCAAAACCAACAGTTAATCTGAGGTGTCAATGCCTTTGCCCTGGGACGGCTGGACTACCTGGCTGGACTACCTGGCTGAACCTGCCGCCACCGTGACCCAATCCCGGATAAGGTGGACGGATTGACCTTAAAACATCTGACCTGTTTTCTCTTCTCTGTGCAAAACACCAAACTTTGAGCAGCTGAAAAGAAAGAAACCGCGGCAGCTTCTTACCTTTGCGTCTGTGAGCCCGGGTGTTTCTGTCAGAAAACTTGAAACTCGGGTTACTGTCGAACCGTGACGTCATCGGCGGGCGGAGACTCACACCTTCATGACTGCAGGTACAGAAAGTGGCCCGGGGAGTTTGCAGGGTGGAGACGTTTGACAGTACTAGACCTGGATTTCTCCTCCACACGGTCGCAGCTTTATTTTACTCCACTAACTCAAACATTATTTTTTAATTCTTAAATAATAATACACTTTTAGATTTTAGCCTAAACAGTTTTTAAACTTTTCAAACCTAAGATACAGAAGGTAATAAATACAATCAATAATACATTTGAGAAGTTAAATACTAAATAGAATGATGTTAAAAATGTAGAAGCCCCCAATAAAAACAACTTCCATACGTTATATAACCAAATAAAATAGAAACATGCACAGAACAGTACAACAAGCTGATAAAGCAACAAAACATCTGACTGAACTAACAAAATGAATATAACACAAACACAAAGATGTTTGTACCCGGGGACAAACTGGACCGAGGACATTTCTGCTGCACAGGCACCAAACTGTCAACGTGTGGGCGTGGCTCAGGACCATGGGCGGGTCCTGAGACAGATGTGGAAAAGGCCCCCACCCTCCACCTCGACAGGAGCCAGACTCGGACTGATCGACCGTGTGATTTGGGGTCGGCCTGTCTCTCCCCGTGGTTGTGTCTGCTTTCAGCTATTTCCTATTAACTTTCACATCTCTTTGTGGTTATTTTTTAGATCATGTGACCTTTCAACAGAAGGTTTAACAGGCCCCTGGCCTCATTGGCCCCAGCTCCTGTATCGGTAAGCCTGTGCTCTGATCCGTCCTCGTGTGTTTACGTGCCTGCCTGCAGGTGGTGAGTCCAGTTTGGCAGTCTGGTCGTCCTGGCCTGTGCTTGGCTGATTCATCCGCCCATATCTTCCGTGTTGTGTAATCAAACATTATTTTCATGTATGGAAGCTCACGTCTGCCGGAAAAGCCATAAATGGCAAATGGCCTTATACCTGTACTTTTCTATGCGGAGCAGCACACTCAAACTCACACTGGGGTCATCACCGGTACAGCTGGACAAACTGGGAATCAAACCGCTAACCTTCTGGCTAGGAGGCGATTCCCTCTCCTAACCTTCCAGTAGTGACACACTGGGAACAGACTGCACTTTTCTGTCCAACCTGGACACACACACACACACACACCAGAGAAAATACAGACATGTTTGACACAGTATGCTTGCATAACCTGCACAACTACCTCTTCCCAAGGACACCTTGACATGTGGGGAGAAGGGACTCGAACCCAAAACCCTGTGCTCAGCTATTGTAAGTCAAATGGTGTTAGAACAATACGAGCCTAAAATTATTTACTGACATGAAATCAAAGCTACGTTTAAGATGCCAAGTCAAATTAACGTCACGTGTCACAATTATGATTTTAATTCTAAACTAAAATTAACCCAGTATTAACATGACAAAAGTTATTTTAAGTCAATGCTAAATAAAATCTGCTTTTTAAGTTGTGTTTGTGAGTCAAGACAAAAAAATGGACATTTTCTTCAGCTTATTTTATACAGTCACTGTCATTATAATAAAAAAACATGCATATGGAGACAAACTGGTTTCTCTGCAGGTTTTGGCAGAAGCCAGTAGAACTCTGTACCACCAAACTCCACAGGGACTTTTCACATTTTAGCTCGCGTTTCCACTGATCGTTGTCCACATCACCCCCCAGCCTCCAGCGTCACTTCCTTCCTGTTGGCTTCAGTGAAAACAACCCACTGAGACCATCTTAGTCAGCAGCCACCGTCTGAACTTCTGTTGACATGCAGTTTTGAGCAGAGTGTAAAAGACATCAAACCAAATGTTTAACACTGAAGATGTCGGCTTCTTTAACACAACACATTCAAGTTTCTTTTCTCAAAACATCCACAGTTCTTTATTTGATGCTCTGACAGTAAATCTGGTGAGCGCAAGGCCTGATGCTGGGACTTTCAAACACTCTGTGCTCGTAACTGACCTGCGAGTCAGAACGGCAAAAACTGAAAAGAAGTTAAACCACAGCTGCCTGAAAACTCAGGAGGACCGACAATGACTGTGGGTAAACACCACAGCATTTACAGTGAACAGGCAGTTAAAACGTGAAAAACCAACAGCGGCGTTGTCCTTTCCAATGGTCAAACATGATCTACGTAAGGTTTGTGGGTCCTGCAGCCTCTTCAGAAGTCCTTGTAATGCAGCAGCCTGAACACAGAGACAGAAGGAGGCGTCACTTCACTTCATATTAACCAGTTTGAGACACTTCAGACTTCTGATCAGACTCGTCCTACAGCCTGACACTGGGCCCAGGCCTCTGCCAGAGTCATACTGAACCATGTTCAGAGACCAGGGGAACCAGGAGTCCTGCAGCAGGTGGTCGGGCCCCCACAGAGCCCTGACCTCAGCATCATGGAACCGGTCTGGGACCACATGTAGACACAAAGACAGTGTCCACAGGAGAACTGTGGAACAAGGTCCCCTCAAGGCACCTGGAGACACTGTGTGCAGGTGGACTGAGGAGACCTGGGCTGGTTTAGTAGACACTGGTCTGGGTTAGAACTGTTCTCTTTACTGAACTTTGGCAGCTGTTTTTGTTTGATTTGATCCTGTGGCAATAAACACACAAACTTGATTGGCTGACCTGAACAAGGGGGCGTGTCCTTTGTTGTTAGCCAATGAGAAGAAGCCGCTGTGCGGAGAGAAGTCTAGGCAGCTGGCTCGATAAACGACCTTTCTGTTTGAGACCGGGAAGTTGGAGAAAACGGTGAGGCTGGGCAGGTGGACCTGAGGGGACAGAACCAGGACAGACACGGTTAAGAAGAAGAAGACGAAGCTTTATTTTACTGTAACATTGTGACATGTACAACAAAATTATGTTTGGAGCCGAGGGCCCCGGGCCACTGCGTGCATACACGAAGCCATCATGGGCAACTGGGGGGGTGGGGGTTCAGTGTCTTGGCCAAGGACACTTTGACACATGAACTGCAGGCACCGAGATTTGAACCATCAACCTTCTGGTTGGGAGACGACTGTTCTACCCACTGCACCACTGTCGCCCCCAGGACTGGGTTCACAGATATCTAGTCATCACCGTTGTCTTACCAGTCGTATGGCCTCGTCCTCGGCTCGTGAGGCGATGGCCAGGATCTCAGAGGTAGGGTTAAAGGCCAGAGAGGTCGCTGAGGTCAGCAGGTTCATCACTGCCTTCAGAGGCTTTGGACTGGCTGAATTTAGACACGCCTCCTGAGAGTAGACGTTGACCACGCCCGACTGAGAGCTGAAACACAGAGACCAACACGGACTAAACCGACAGGATGCGACAGAGGCACAGCTTGGGCCATCTATCAACAACGACCTGTTGATCGCTGGTTCCCGTTTGGTTTTTCACCAACCTACTAAAAAGGAAACTCCTCATCAGTTCACAGCTCGAGTCCAGTTCAAACTGTGCTTTTACCTCAGGCTCTTTTACTTTCATTTTTTAATGAAGTCAAATTATTCAGCAAAAGGTAAAAAAATAAACAACACAGATGAAGATGTGTCCGTGCTGTCCAGGGCCTGTACCACGAAGCAAGATTATCCAGCTCAGGCTTTCCTGTACCATGAAGCCGGCTCACTTTTAACACCATGGTAACTCACGCTGCACGTTAACGTGCTCAGATCAAAACCTGTCAACAGCATGAGCACCGACCAATCAGATCACTGGAAACACTGAGCGACTGTTCCTACTGGGTCCTGACGGGGTCAGAGTCTACATTAATGTGATGAGGTTTAAACAGATGTTTCTACAGAGCCGTCGTATTGTTGGGCTTTCTGGACTTCTAACAAACTGAAGGAGCCTGGAGCCTTCCTGATGATCAGCACAGGCTCCATCGCTGCAGCTCAGAATCACGAGGACACTCTGTGACAATGGTCGTCACAGATCACTAGAGAACACCAGAATAAGTTGGCCTGGCTTCGTGGTGCAGGGCCCTGGTCCCTGGTCGGGAGCTGCTGCTCTAATCTGAACAGAAGCAGATACTGTGTGAAAATCCATGAAGACCCCTGGGAGTCCGTTGTCGTCGCCCTGATATAAAGGTATTTTAAAATACATACATCCTCTCGTACATCAACAGAGCTGTCAGCCAATCAGAGAGCAGGATGGTGTGTGGGCGTGTCCTACCCGCAGGCGAGGTACTGTCCGTTACACGACGTGGCGATGGATGTTCCCTTCACGCAGCCATCATCAGTAAACCTGTTAACGCACCGGCTGCTGCGCATATCCCACACGTACACCTCTCCCTCCTCTGCACACACACAAACACCCTGGGTCACATGACAGGAAGCTGATGTGTGATGTCACAAACCGAATGCCGTGGACTCACCTGAGCTGGCGAAGACTTTGCTGCCATCGTTAGAGAAAGCGACTCCGCTGACGTCACCGTTGATCTTCATACTGTGAACCACCTCCTTAGTCTGAGACAGAGGGCGTACGGGGGCGTGAGGCGGGACAAGTGTGATTAGAAAGCATCCACGACACAACCAGAGCTGAGGAGACCAGTCGGTCGACAAAAATTTAACCTGCAGCAGCTTTTTGTTCTGTTTTTTTAACCAGAAATTGTTTTGAAAATTAACATATTTGCAAATTTTAGCTTCGCAAATGTGAGAATTTCCTGTGTCAGAGTCAAGTGAATCTCTCTGGGTGTTGGACAAAACATTAGAAACTGTCAATGTTTAAATAAGTTCTGACATGTCACAGACAAAATGATCGATCACCTGAGAAAAGGATCTGAAAATGAAGTGAAAATGGTCACAGCCCCAAATTTCATTACTGTAACAAGCTTTAGTACAGTGAAAATTTATTTTCCATGATGGAAAAGTGGCTCGTGCTCAGAAAAAGATTACAATTACTAAGTGAACACGACAATGTTGCACTGAAAAGAACTGAGCATCAACATCAGGCTGAAGGCAATGGACTCCAACATAAGCGTTACCTTGAGTGTGAGCAGGTGCAGGTACCCGCTGGTTCCAGTGAGCAGCAGGGCGCCACCTTCAGGACACACAGAGAACTCCTTCACTCGGGCTTCATTCAGACCTGAGCACAAACAATGGCTGTTCATAGGCTTTTACTCTGAAAGGCACTGCAGTGAAATCTGTTGCTCCTGTCCTCTGTGTCACCTCTGACGGTGTGGACGGGCGTCACCCGACCCTCCATCATGTCGTACAAGTAGAACATCTTGTTCTTCAGGCTGGTGGCGATCACAGTCTCTCCGTCCGTGCTGAACTGAGCTTTGTGGATGGGGAATCGCTCCAGGTGGATGCTCTGGATCTTCGGGTTCGTCTTTCCGTCCACCTGTAGGAGGAAGCAGAGACATTACTGAAGTCAGGTAATCTTTTCCACCTGACAGGTCTTTGCTGTTGGACATCAGAGACGGCTGATTGGCTGTCTGTACCTGAAAGAGGGAGATTGACCGGTCAAGGCCGGCTGTCATGACGACCTGAGCGGATGGGTGGAACTGGACGGTGGTCAGCCTGTCCTCTGAGGGACGAGCACTGTTGGCATGGAGACACTTCTTCATCTGAGGACAAATAAAAACATGTTAATCACAGTCCATCATCAAAACCGCCCGACGCGTAGCTACATGAAGCACAAGGAGCCAGCGGAGCAGCGCCAAGGTGTGTGTTTAATGGTTACTGGACAACAGTGACGGTTAACGGCACAGAGCAATAAGCTGAACCAGGCTCGTTACGGTGAGGACACCACATTCACTGGTGCTGCTGCTCTGTAAGACTCGACTAGCAGAGAAGCACCGACCCTCAGGAGGCCGCTGGGCAGACAGTCTGACGACGCCACAAAGTTCCCTGTCCTCCTCAGCATGTCATCTTCCTCGTCTTCATCCTCTTCCTCATCTTCATCAGCTTCAGGAACACAGAGAGTCATTGTGATTTGAACAAGAGACTCTGGATTAAAAAGCACCACTAAAACCCTCGTTGCTTCAGTTCCTACCCGTCTTCTTCTTGCTGCTGCTCTGTGCCCACGACGGAGTTCCTCCCATCGACTTCTGAAACCTGAAGCACACCGAGATCAGCACCACAGAGCGTGCGCACCAGTAGACGTGTACAGGTGTGTGTACTCACTGCTCCCTCATCCTCTGCTGCAGCTTCTGTACAGACAAGGTGGACTCGGCCTCTCCTCGCATCAGGTCTCTGCGGTACCGATGCTTCATGTCGACCCTGGAACAGAGATGCATCCAACTGGTCTCCATGTGCAACAGTAAGAACACAGTTTACACAGTTGCTGTGCATTTTTATATGGAATAAATGTAATGTAGTCTTGACTAATACACGGCGTCATTAGCATATCACTCCAGTCCATTGGCTTCCTGTTCGTTTTAGGATTGACTTTAAATTGTTGTTTGTCTATAAGGCTGTGCATGGTCTAGCACCTTCATATATCTCTGAGCTTGTGTGTTTTTATGCTCCAGAAAGGACACTTAGGTCTTTTAAGCAGTTGTTCCTGGAAGCACTGAAGTCCAGACGGAAACATTGGAGAAACCGAGGTTTTTCAGTTCGGGCTCCTGTACTGTGGAATGGTCTGCCACGGGAGATTAGATCTGCTCTGAACCCGACTGTTGTTAGATCACTTCTCAAAACGCATTTGTGTTCACTGGCTTTTAACAATTTTACTGATTGATGTATTTGTTTTGATTATGCATGTTTGCTGTTATTTTATTGTCTAGATGTGTTTTATCTGGTTTTATTTATTTTTATCATTTTTATGTTTTACTACGAAGCACCTTGTAACGTAGGTTTAGAAAGGTGCTATATAAATAAATTTTGCGTGCTTGCTATAACTTTGGTTTCTAAGTGTCAGCTCTTGAAATCCAGATTCAGGAGCAGCCCCAGCGTCTGTGCAGAAAACCACCTAAAAAAAAACAAAGGGTTTCAGCACAACGGGTGAGTCTGGTTCAAATTCTGTACCAACGCAATTCCACATCATGCACACCTTTCAATATCTGTGTTATTCTGACTGGCAGGCCCCAGACTGTCAGGATTGGCAATAGGACTTCAGCCAGCATTGTTACGAACACTGGCACCCCACAGGGATGTGTCCTCAGTCCCATCCTCTACACCCTGTTCACCCACGACTGTGTC